CTGAGAGGATCAGAACTGTTTTTAGAAGAGAAAGACTGTGCTCAGACTGATCAGGCTGGATATACCTATCTGCTTGGTAGTTACCAACGTCTCTTGCAGTTCTTCTTAGCCTAAGCCTTTGGGCAGATATGCCAAATGCTGTCTGAACTGTATTTTCCTAGGAGAAATACTCAGTTTATTGTTAAGGAGGTCTGTTGAGAAGGTTTTTGATCTGCCTTCAATGCCAGCTCTCCTTGCAGTTGTCTGATTCTCTGCTTGGTGAGCTGGTCCACACATCTTGCTTGAAATCTCCCTTGTAATGTCAAGTTCTGCATGGTTCACTTTCCACTGTAGATCACAGTCAAGTTCTTTTACTGTAGAAGGAATGGCAGTTCTTTTGCTGAGGTGACAATATGGGACTAACAGAAAATGCTTATTGAGGCAGCTGAAACAAGAGGCTGTGCCCTGCACAGAGGCTGATGCAGAATACTTGTAACTTAGGATATGGGTGTGATGATGGAAAGTGACCAAGGAAAGTGCTAGGTTAGGAGAATGATTATATATGTTAATGCCAGTATAGTCTAAAAAGGGAAGAAAGATGATTCTCATCTACATGAACAGGTTAGCTGTATTAAAATAAAAACTGGAATATTGTCTTAGCATAATACTTAGTGGGTTTCTGGTCTGAATTCAGACTTGGCCAGTAACTGTGCTTTGACTGGTTTCCGATATTCCAGTCACTCATTTAAACAAGAATGTAAGGTCAAACCCCAGTTTGATCTCCTTTGGAGTTGCACATTTGAAGTGTATATGTATACTTTTAGCCAGAAGGAAACATTACAATGATCTAATCTGACCTCTTACATAAACTGGGCCACATGTGTTTGAGTCTTACAGGTGGACTCAATAACTTGTGATGAAATAAAAGAATAACCCTACAAGACATAAGGTTTCAATTTTAATTTGAGGTCTTGTAGTGGTATGAAATACATTGCATTCTTCAGTTGTGTTTAAGAATGGATGAACTTCTGAAAAATAATCTTAATTTCAACACAAGTTACAGGAGCATGTGATCACTTGTTGAGCCTTTCATCAAACATCTTTTCTCTGTATGTGTCTGTAGATGGTGTTCTCTAGAACTGAGCAGACCGAGCTCACCACTGTCAGCTCTGCCACAGCTCTGGCTCTGTGCTTGGAGAAGGACAGCTGTCCAGCATCTTACCTGCTCGCTGTCAGGAGGTTTTAAAGATACTGAGGTCTGGGGGGGAACTTTACCTCTGTTTTTCCTTCACATCTGAATTGTATTCACACTAAACCAAAAGAAAGAAAGAGTATTATCTCTTTGTCTTGGGTTAGGCCTTGCTGTTGTTGCAATAAACTTTCTAGAATATTGTAGCAATTCCCAAGTATTCCTGGATCATAATCACCTTTCTACTCTGTTCAGACTGTGGCTACTAAAATGATCTTTGCTGTGAAGGTGAGAAGATCAGATACTATATTTTTGCCATTAGATTGATGTTATATTGACATTAATTATGATTTTCCTACTGCCCTTTTTCTTTCTTGCCCCCCCATGTTGTTGTTCTTTACTGGATGGAGCACACTATGTTATTAATCTTTTTGTGTCTTTTGATACCATGCAATCTTTCACAACTTGTTTCTTCTACCTTGTGTATGACAAATATATTAATAGAATTGGTTGGAAATGTAATATAATCTTCTTTGACTCTCAGTGGATTCTGTTTTCTTGTGTCCTACAGTTATATTTTTATGGAAAGACTCTGCATTTAATTTTGAGTATGGAAGTGAGACTGAAAATGCATGTCTCTGTAAATTGAGGATAAGTCAATAAGGAGAAAAGAGGGCTGCTGGAGAAAATGGGCTGAAATTATGGTCAAGGTGTAAGGGAGCCTGAAAATATGATGAGCTCCAGCATGCAAATCAATCTGTGTTACTGTCTCTCACAGAGTTTTCCTTTTCTCTGTGCACCCTTTGTTGAGTGTTGTTGCAAATGGGAGGGACTCAGCATTTTAAGTGCAGTTCTTATACTGCCTGTTCTGTTTCATTCTTCAGATATATTATAACACCCATGTACACACAGTATGTTGCTAAAAACTTTCAGGTGTCTACCTTAGGAATGAAAATCCCTGCTGATATTTTCTATACATGATCCCAATCTTCCCTGTAGAGTGTTCTAACTTGATTATAGTCCTGCACTTCAGTTGATGTACTCTGTTGTCTCCTGGGCTTTTTAATAACAAATGTTGTATGTTGGAGGGCGTTCTTCTCTGAACCTTACTTAATAGAAGTTGCAGTTTTAAGTGTATCTGTTACATAGTATTTTTTTTTAAAGAGCAACGCAACATTATTTCACTCAGATCTCCTTTATCAAACGCCTTCTCCTGCCGCTAGAGAGGTGTTAGGCCTTCCAGCTCGTAGCTGGTTTTATCTTTATGGAGAAAAGATGGAAGTAAAATTGGGAAGTCTTTCCAGTAACAAAACACATCACCTGAACCCAGTTATGTGAGTCAGTAAATATCACCTGAGCTGACTGATGGAGAAGCAGCTTTCGTCTGTGGGTCACTTTTCATCAAGCATGCTACCTGTCAGCTTGCAGTCTTGTTGGCATCAGGTTACTCAGCCTTTCAACTGATGACATAACAGATTACAGAATGGTATGGAAAGTAATATTTTGATCTTTTCTAGAGGGGAATCTTCTAGTAACACCTGTCATCAGGATCAGTTTTTATGGCTGTGTGTGCAGCTTCAGCCTTGCCTATAGCTGGGTATGGATGAAAAGCTGAATAAAATGCTTCTCTTAGTCACTGGTATGGCTGCATTAATATCAGTCTTCCTGAAGTTCTCATGTAATGTAATGGAGGCTCTTTTCTTCATTTGGGATCAGATACACCTTTCAGAAAGCACATTGGTAGATGTGACATGGATGCACCAATTAACACGGTGTTAACCGTGCCTTTCCTCTCCTGTTTGCTGGGGAATGGAAAAATGAGGAAGTAGACTGGGGGAAATGGAGAAAAGCTGTGGTATGCAGCCACTGCTGGGGCTCCCAGTCTGCAGTTCTCCTGTGCCATTCATTGACCTAACCAACTTCAACCTATCTTTCAGTATCGGTGGTAAAAAAAACCACTCAAATTCCCCCGTAATCAAATGGGGGCTCAAAAATGGTAGCTGGACTGTGAGCACATCTCCCAGGTTTCTCAGAATTGTTAATGTCAGTGAAATTAAAGGAAAATAGTGGAAGTTCATGTATCTTTTCCCTTTTTTTCCTGCCTTGGTTTCTTTAGGCTTAGCTTTCTCGGACAGTATAAAATTTGAACTTTAAGACACAAAATATGATACTGATTTATATTTACTGGCTAAAGAAGTGTCTTTCCTTTGCTTGTATAGTGGCAAAGTTCTGAAGCAGCATAGAAATACTGCTTTCTTTTCTTTCCACAGAGTTCCCAATTGCTCTAGACTATCAGATTTTTACAAACAGGTTAAATTAAATCTCTGTTCACAGTGATTGTATTTAGGACACCTTGCATTTTAGCAAACACACATTTTTATATTCTTAGCTTCAAAATTACGCTTTGATTTTTTTGCAATGCTTTCATACAGATTTCTGTGTAGACACAGGATTGGAACTCCAGCTGTGGACTTTGTCAGTTGAGCATAGATGTGGTTTTTCCCTTCTAAAAAACTTATAGAATTTTGTAAGAAACTGTAATCATAGACTTTTCTTAAAATATTCTGGGTTTTGGTTTGGTTTTTTGGGTTTTTTTTGCATGGTTTTTTGTGGGTTTTTTTGGTATTTTTTTCACCATCTGGGATGAGGACAAACTTATTGAAGATTTGTCAGTAAGTGTATGTGTGAGGATATAATGCTGTTGTACAGACTTACACGGACTCCTTCTATTTTCTGCAGTAGGCCAGTATGGTTCCAGAAATGCACTTGAGGTCACATTTTCCTTTGCACTCTACCATTGCTATAAAGAGTTAAGAAAGTAAAGTAGTGTTTTATTGATAACATTTCTGATGTTTAATTAAGTGAGGGTAAGATTGTGTGTCTTGTCCTTTGGCTGTTTATTCCCTGTTACAAATTTTTTGAAAATCTCTGTTTGCTTGCAAAGTATTTTTTTTTTAATTTGGAGTACATGGATGTTCTGAATTGACTTGTCAGATGAGGGTTATTATGTTAGCAAGCAAGATTTTATCAAGGTAGCTTGAAGAAGGAAAGGGAAACTATAGTAGGCACAGGCTGAGGGGACACATCCATTTAGTGCCAAAAGCAGCAAAAGGATTGTATGGTATATCAACCAGGATAATACTGATGAACTTACTCCGTAGTGGGTTGAATATTTTTTGATTCAGTGTTTTGAAAAAAAAAATTCTAATTTGGGCTTGTGGTGATAAATATAAATTACATTTAACTTTCAACTTCCTAATTTGATCTGCAGAAAAATCTAGATACTCTAGATACTGCTTTCTGAATTAATCTCATTAAAAACATCTACACTTTAAGTTTATAATGGTGTAATAAGCCAAATAGTTACATTGAAATTCAGTTTTTTATGGAGCTGCTTTCTTGAACAAGTTTGTGAGTCTGAGTATTTCATTCTTGCCGTTTATCACTTATGGACTGTGTATGGCGCTCTGAAATCTTTAAGTGAAAGGTGCTAGAGGTGTAGAAAATCTGTGGTAAGGATAGTATAATGCTGAATCCCAGCAGAGAGGTATATTATAGAGATGTGATTCTTGAATGTCTTTGTGACTTGTTAATGTGTGCTTGTTTAAGAGTTGCAGGGTTGCATAACGAAAGCAGAACAAAAATATTGAATAACCTTATGTAAGTGTGAAATGGATAAAATGAGCGTGGCCAACTAAAGCTGTGCCTAATTTATCTGAGGTGAACATTTATTTTCATCACTTTTTCTGTTGTTTGTGTTCTTGTTTTTAAATGACACTTTGACACCTTTTGTGTAAGCTATGCATATTAATGTAATTGTATTTACTTGTAGGTGGCTCTAACCAAAAGAGCTGATCCAGCTGAGTTGAAAGCAATATTTTTGAAGGTATGTGTAAAGTAAATATTTTACTCTCTCTGCTTAAATTTTTCATATCTTTTGCTCCTTTATTGCAGCATACAACTCTTGATATTTTTTTTTCCAACCATTAATCATTCACTGTATTATTACCATGTTAGACTTAAATACCATTATCAGAATTGAACAATGCTCACCAAGAAGTCAGATATATTCCTGAGTGATTATTGTATTGACTCAGAAGAAGTATTGCTATCTTAGAAAAAACCCACATTGTTCAGAGAATGTGGTAGGAGTTTCACTATTGTTCTTACATGTGGTAAAATGTTCATGTAGATACCTTACTGTTAAATGATTTGATAAACTTTCTTCTTCCATCCTTGCCATCCTTTCTTCCTTGGGGTTATCTCTGCTTCTGTTATTTGTAGAACTGTTGGGATGATCACCATGTGAAGTGCTGGCCATATTTATTATTTAACTGAAATTCTTTCTTTGTTGGCCTGCTGTGGAAAGCACGCAAGTAAAGACTCGCGTACTTGCTTATGTACTTGAGAGAAATGAGCTTTAGTGTTTTGCTGAAGACTGGGAGCTGATTCTCCAACACTACTCTGTTCTTGTGAGACCCCACCTGCATTGCTGCATCCAGCTCTGGGACTCTCAAGATAAGAGGGATGTGAACCTGTTGGAGCTAGTTCTGAGGAGGGTCAAAAAAAGATGATCAGAGTGCTGGAGCACCTTTGCTATGGAGACAGACTGAGAATTGAGTTGTTCAGCCTGGAGAAGAGATGGCTCCAGGGAGATTTTGCTGCAGCCTTTCCGTACCTCAGTGGAGCCTACAAATAATCTGGAGAGGGACATTTCACAAGTATAGGGACATTTTACAAGAACATGTAGTGGTAGGAGAAGGCAGAATGACTTTAAACTGAAAGAGAGTAGGTTTAGGTTAAGGAAGTAAGGAAGAAACTCTTACTGTGAGGTTGGTGAGTCCCCAGAATAGCTTACCCAGAGGAGTTATGAATGCCCCATCCCTGGAAGTGTTCAAGGCCAGATTGGATGGGGCTTTGAGTAACCTGGTCTAATGGGACATGTACGTGCCTATGGCAAGGAGATTGGAACTAGATGATCTTTAAAGTCTTTTCCAACCCAAACTATTCAGTGATTTTGTGAAACTGGCCTTCTTTGGCCCATTTCCTAAATTTAAATAACTATGTCTAGCCTTCCTAAGATTCATTATTCCACTATCTGGGTAAGTTTGGTATTCTGGTATAAAAAAAAAGAGTAGAAAAATTTGTGGTTCTGAAGAATAAGTATGAGGTAGATGGCACAGTGCTATTAGGGAGCTGTTGTATCTAAATTATTTCTGTGGAGGTGTTGAGGGCCTGAGACAGCTCATACTTTTCCAGTTTCTTCCCTCCATCTTTGCTCTCCAGCATCATGCCCCACTCTGTGTAGTTCTTGGTATTTTTTTCATTGTCCCTTGTGAGCTATTATTAACCATATGTGTAGGTGTCACAATGTATATTGCCTGTATTTATAGTTTTATTATATACTGTCAGTATTTATAGCTCCTGAGAAAGTCAGGATTTAACTTCTTAAGTCCTGAAACTTGTATCTGTCAGGAGAGCAAAGAGACCCTTGCAAAAGAAGGGGTTATGTGGTTTACAGAGGAACATACTTGAAGAGCAGGAGCACAGCAGCAGAAAAAGCAGACAGGGATTAGACCACTGACCTGAGAAGACAGTAGCATTGAGGAAGGAAATAAACACACTAGAGAGAAGCCCAGTCCCTTCTGAGCTATGAGGTGATCCTCAGTTGGAGAGTGGGGAAGTTGGTGAGTTGGTTTGCTGAGAATAGTGGGAAAATTGTTTCCTACCTGCCTGTGGATATTCATCTCTTACTTTTGTGAAGATTGTAGCTCCCTCAACCACCTGGTTTGGTGATTGAATGGGCTGTAGTTTAGCACACTAAATGCCACCTCTGACTTCTTTTTCTTCCTCTTTTGCTTTCCCTTCCACTAAAAAGAAGAGATCCCAGTAAAGAAGTAATGAAATATGAGCTAAATGTTTTGTTCAGTGTAATGCAGCATTGTCATGCTGCTTACTCCCAAGAAGGAAAAAATGATGAGTAAATGTGTTATGTTGTTTCATGGTCTACAGATGAGTGATGCCCAGAGTGTTAATTAAGCTTCTTCAGGCTATTTTAAATGGTGAAGCCAATAGAGTTGCTGCTGCAGATTGTGGAATGTTCACTTACAAAATAATTTGACAACTATTCTTTCCTACTTCAATTCAGAATTTAAAAATGTGATTGCTGTTTAGGGATGGTACCCACAGTGTAGAAATAAATGTGAAATTATCAGTTTAAATGCAGTGCATTGCAGTCAACTTGTAGCATATTTAGTATGTCAAAGCCCCAATAGAATGTTTGCAAATCTTACTTTAAATGTGGTTAAACTTGTTATTACTTGACTATATAAAAAGTGTGTAAATAAGTTGCCAAAAAGCCATTAAGTACTATGTATAATATCAAATTCTCTGTGGGTATAATTGTCAAAGTGGGGAAAAATAAAATTGTAAAGAGCCAATTTTTAAATGCTGCCCCTCCAAAACAAATAGAATTGATGTTTTCTTTATTTTTGTTATAATTTCCAAGAGTACTTCTTCTAAGTCTTCTAACATAACCCCTAAGAGATTAGATTTTAGTCAAAAGTGATCAAGCTGACATTTTTCAAGGTCATTTTCTATATGTAGTATAGAGTACGTGATTGGATTTCAAATACACTTGAGTAAATCACAATGACAAGAAACAGGGGGACACTGAAACCTTGTGCTGTTTTCTGTTATTGAGTGCCCTAGCAGGGGGTTAGACTGGATGAAAAAAAGAAATGTAGAAGCATAGACTGTCTGACTTATTTGATTTGTTTCTCAATAGCAGCTGTGTTAAAAGTTTCTGTGGCTGGGATTTTGAAGGATTCTGTCTTTCTGCAAATGATTACATTGAAATCAATTGATCTGTTAGTTCTTATAAAAGTATACAATTCAAAATTCCTTGCAGTGTAGCAGCTACCAAGTATGTGTTATTGAAACAGGAATCCTTTAGCACTATCCAATATATAGATGCCAAAACAAGTTATGTTTTGTTGGATTTGCTTCTCTGAAGCCCTGTTTCTTGAAGATATTGCTGTACCTGAAAATGGTATTTCTACAGCACTAGAAGAAAATAATCTACTTACTGTAACACTTTGGCATCCCTCTGAGAGTTATATGCCTACAGCAGGTATAACAGGGCACTGCAGGCTCCAATATGAAATGAAAACTGGCAGTTTTCGTCCCTTAGCGGAGCCACAGTAATGTGAAATAAAACATGTGCTTGAAGTACACTACAAAATAGCAATAGGCATCTAATTTATTTATTACTTTAGTGTGGATAATACTCTGTGGGGAGATGCAATGATAATTTATCATCCTACCCTGTCTTAAAAAATTAAAAAAGAGAAATCAGCGGTTTCTTTCCTGTTCTCAATGCATACTTGTTATCCCAAGATAGATCTGTTTCCCTTAAAGCTAGCACATGGTTCTACAAATCTTGCCTGGGATTTCTGTTTCTCTTAATAATTGTCTTTATCCTTTTTATTTTCTCAAAATACATTCTTTAGGGTTGATTTCAAATTTGACCTTCTTCAGAAAATTAGGAGTTAAAAATTTGAGGGTAGACATGGTAACAAAGGGAATTTTATTTATTTAGATATTATCTTCAAAAATATTAATATTACTTTTATTTGTAATGTATTACTGGAGGCTTCCCCTGGAAGCAAATATGCTTGGGTCTTTTCTGGAGTAGTATGCTAGTAACTGTGTGTAAAGCAGGGATAATGTATGACAGGTGTCAGAATTCTTTTCTTATTTCTGCAGTGTGCTGAACTGTCAAAGTTCGTTTTCTGCTGTTATATTTTTCTGCAAATGGTATTCTTTGGCCTCCTTTCAGCACTTCAGCCAAGGAGAAGTATCTGTAGGCTCTCCTTTCCTTAAGGAGAAAGCTCCATGGCTGGAGGTGATGCAGTAGGGTTCTCCAGTACAGCACCCCCAGGTGGACATTCCTGCGGGATCATTTGCTGCCCTGGCATGTGCGGGTGTCGTCAGTCCTGCCTTCTCATAGAATAGCTAAAGAAGGACTCATTTCACATAAATAAGATATGCTGTCAGAGTTTCAGTGGGCCTGAGATGCCACATACCTGCTTGCAAATGTGCTTGTTCTTCTGCTTCAGAAACATATTTGGTGCTATGGAGAATTTCTAGACTACTGTGGAGAAATTTTGGCATGATAATCAAAAAATCCTATGTCTGCCATTCGTTGTGTGGGAAGCTGAGCCTTCAGCTGCTTCAGTACTCTCCTCTTACTCTTTCCTGTTTGGCTCTAGGCTGTAGGTTCCCTGGAGCAGAACTGTCATCTGCTGTAACAGAGGCCTGCTCGTGACTGGGGACTATGGGTGGTGGTAATAAATGCCTGGAGCAGGATGTGTGGCACTAAATATTGTGTTCACTTAACAGTATGCAAGTGTGGAGAAGAATGGAGAATTCTTCATGTCTCCTAATGACTTTGTCACACGGTACTTGAAGATAATTGGAGATGGTTTGCCTAATGCAAGCACTGTACAGCTCCTTGCAGGTGTGGTGGATCAGACAAAAGATGGGTAAGTGGTTTTTTTGTGGTTTTGGTTTGGGGGGTGGGGGGAATTTGTAGTTGATTGTTTGTTTTTTTTCTTTTTCTTTTTCTGTTGTTCATTTAAAAAATACAAAATCATTTTTTCAAACAGTGTGATCATTGAAGGGGGGGTTGTTTTGTTTTCCCCTGCAGATCCATAAAGAGATACAGAATATTTTAAGTGAAAAGAGTAGAAACATTGTTTTCAACTGCACTTAACATTTAGTGGTGCAAACAATTTTCTGTCTACTATGTATTTTTAATTCATGGAACCTTTCATGTTTGTTGGCTGGCTCCCCTAGCTCCTGCTTTTCTTTCCTTCCCTGAGTCTTTCTGTCTCTGTTTACTTTATGTATCTGTCACAAACACATTCAAATAGAAATCCAAAGTAAGTTTAGATGATGTAGGAAGAGATCCTAGAAAAAAGTGCCCCTGCTTTGTTTTGCCATGGCACTGTTAAAGGTTTTTGCTGCTGTGTTTTTGCTTCAAGAGGGAGGAGGAGCACCTAAGGTATTTAGGGAGCTACTCTGCAATCTTGGGAAGACAGCAGTGAAGTTGGTTGCACATGGTTTGCATTTGAAAGGCCGACTTTGCCAATAGGCAAGATTAGCTACCCTTCCATCTTCCTTCCCCCTACTTTAATGAAATCCTAGCATTTGCTTTTGATACATGCCCAGGCAAGCTATCTCTTCACCCATATGAGTTGTTGAACCCTCCCTTTAAAGTATCTTTAGAGAAACTTGAGAATAATTAGCTATGGACTTAAAGTGTGTAGTTGTGGCATTTTTAGAAACCAGAAAACTTCAGGCATGACTCATATCAGTGGTTGCAGAGAGTAAAATGTGAGATAAACAAAGCATGACTAGAGAATGCAGTCTTCCTAGGAAAAGATGGAGGCATAACTGAGAAATTTTGCAGTCCTTTCTGTGCTCTCTTTTCGGCTCAGCCACTCTCGTGTATTTGCAGCTCAGCACCTTAAGCCTTGCAGATGAGTTAATGTGATGATTGCTGCCCCAGGAAAAGAATTCTGTAAAAGCTTGTGTTGGTAACATTGATGGCATCAAGAAAGCCATGTCTTCAGACAGCGTTTGACTGAAAACATTAAACATTTCTCAGATTTCTTCCCTTGGTTTGATGCCTGCAAAAACAGCATTTTCCAAATTACATGGCTTCAAATCCGTTTTGTAATAAGAAGATTGAGAACATAATCCATACCTTGTGATTTGGATCTCCCTCACAGAAGCTGGTGTCAGGAAGAACAAAATGTAAAACTGTAGCCTATGTGAACTTGTTGACAAGTTTGGATTTCGTAACTTGGCGTGATCTTGTAAGAGTTTTGCGGTGTAGTATTGAGGCTTCTAATTGCTGCTTTCTGCCGTGGGTAAGGATTGTTTCTGTAATCCGCACTGCAGTGACAGTTCCTAACGTGTCTTTGGAGAGTCTCTTCTGGTATTCAGGCTGTCTTCCTGTTTAGCTAATGTGTGAAAGAATGGAGAAAGTTTGGGAAGTGATTATCATCCATCTCCCTAACGTGGCATTGTAGCCTTTTTTGCTGTGTTGCTCAGTTTTTGTACCTTGTTCTCCTGGTGTTTAAAGTAATTTGCAGAGTAATCATCAAGGCAGCAACAGGACTACTGGTCCTCTCCTATTGAATGTTGCTAATTTAGCAGTCCAGAGCTTCCAGTTTTACAGTGAAGCACAAACCAGCTTTTGTTGGTGTTAATTTTTAATAGGCTTGTCAGTGTTTAGGGACTTACACATGGTTAAGGTCACGAGAGTCTGTTCAGTAATTTAGCATTATTTCTATTATAAAATAGAAGGTATCTTGCAAGAGCAATGACAAGTTAATATTGTTACAGTGTTGGTGACTTAAAGTAGTGCAGTTCTGAAAATACTGCTAGGCTATTTCCAGAAGCATTTATCCACTGTCTTGGATCCCTCTTTTGCTCTGAAGAAGCAGCTGTTGTTCATGACTGTTGAGCATGACCACTTGTCACTAAAAGGGTCTGAGCCTCCACCAGGGCTGTTCCTAGCACTCTTTAGAATGCTTTTTAATTCCTTCTGATTTTGGTGACAAGTTAGGTATACATACCAAGTGTAATCAGTGTGAAATACTTAACTGCGTAAGTACGTAGGTGAAACGCAGACAGCACAAGGACTTCAGACTCACGAGCAGGGCATAAAGGTGGGCAAAGAGTTTCTTACCCAAGAGCTGAAGAAGTTCTGAGTGTGAAATGAAACAAACTGCAGCTCTTACATACAATCTCACAGTGGTCACTCGTAGACAAAAGCTCATGTAAGTGTAGCCCAGTTCCTGCATGGCCAGAGATTGAGGATTTGAGGGTCTACTTGAGCTGTTGTTGTTGTGACAAAGGTACGAGACCTCTTAAGGCATACTCTGTTGTTCAGTGAATATCTGTTGCCATGGGAGCAAGTTTTGCCTCCATCTTAAGCCAGGGCAGAGGTTTATTTGATGGTGGGCTTTTCTGCTGTTCTCTTATGGAGGTGTTTTTTTAAGATTTCCTCTAAGAAAAGGAAATACTTTCCTTGCCAGACAAACCTTTCAAAGTAGTCAACTGGTAATGAAATACATTTTAATAAGTGTTGTATTGCGTGGTTGTTGTTTGTATGAAACAGATTGAGGAGCCTGGTTCCTGGCCTTAAGCCTCTCACTCCTAACCTTAGTTTAAAAAAAAAAAAAGGCTTCATTTGGCCTCGCTTGGATCAGAAATTTCCCCAAAAAACAGTTGCTTTCTAAAGGCCTATCAGCAATAGGCATTTTCCGTCCTGCCTACTGTAATATAATTTTTCAGATTCTTGTTGGTACTTTTAAACATCTGCCTAACAAAATAAGTATTTACTGCACGTCTCTGTTTGGACTGTAGTAACTAACACTTTACTAAGAAATACCATATGCTTTATTTATAGAAAGGACAAAGTATTCAAAAATAACACTTGGAAATACCAGCATTTTCCATTATTATTGGTTATAAATTTATCCTCTAATGCACCAATTTACACTATACTTAGTTTACCTAGCTTGCAGTGTAAAATAATAGATGTAGCTTCAATTTTTGTCCCATTATGTTACCATGTTTAAATTGCTGATACAGTAAAAACATCTGCATTGATTTCTGAAGAAAACCTCTTCATCATTGCATTTGTGTGTATTATTACAGCAGGTAATAAAAAGCAGGTGGGTTTTTTTCTTTGTGTGGCTGCTTGCAGACTTTCTGTGGTGGGAATGTGTTGTGTCTATGTGATGTCCAGATACCATGGGTGTGAGCGTAGAAGACAGGAGAGGGTAGTAAAAAGTGATTTTGCTGCACCATACTTTGTTGTTATGTTTTGACTGGTGCTCTTGTATGTGGATGCTTTTGAGATATCAAGGTTTGAACCTTCCTGAATAAGCTATGCAGTATTGGCACTGGTAATGAGGATATGAAGGTGAAGGATGACTTTGACTTACTTGGGTGGAATATCTTCAAAACTGAAATAAAATTTTGTAAACATTTCAGCTTCCTCTCGTTGTGCTGTTAAAATCACTAGGTTTTGCTCTGCTTTTGTAACATAAATGACTACTTCTTTAGGTATATTAAATAACTCTTAAGTAGTATATTGAAGTCCATGTTAACATGTGCTGTTTAATGACACCTAATGAAATTCACTGAAGGGTTATGCTAAACCCAAAAGGGTGATGCTAAAGCAGAGAGAAAACATGTTACCCAGGCAACTACCCTTGTGCAGTACAGAGAAGTGAGCATATGGCTATGTAGTACACATTTTTTCAGCTTCTTTAAGCATTAAGAATCACACGTGTAATTGACTGAAAAATTACTGCTCAGTTACTGTATTGTATGGTCATAATAGAAGTAAATGAATACGTCGTCCTTAGAATAGATCTGTTGGGAATCACTAGCAGGCTAGTCTACTTAGGGAGCAAAAATACAATAAGAAGAAAATAGCTGGTTTAATTAACATGTAAAAATTGGGTTAATTTGAATTCAGCTGGCACAGCAGATATTAATGTCTCTTCTTTAACAGTCTGGCTAGAACTACACAATTTGTACACTTTTTAATCTTCCTAGTTCTATGACTAATTGTTTTAAAAAATGGATATAGGGTTATTTTAAGCATTTATCTGTGATTTATTAGGGGGGTTATTGCTTCCAAGTGCTGAAAAAAAAAATGCTTCTACTAGTATAAAATCTTGTAATAGTGTTAATACATGGAATTTTAATCAAACCCAGGCCTATCACATAGCATATGTTCTTAACATGGTGCTAGGATTCTGCTGGGATAGATGCTGTATTTCTTTTCTGGGCTGTAATCACTGTATTGTGAACCATTGGTAAGGACATGTGCAGGTTGTTTCACACAAAAGCAGCTTTACCAAAATGATGTTGGCTGAGATTTTACATTTATAATTCCAAACAATCCTATTCTAGAGTCTTGTCACCTGCTGTCCTTTTTGTTTTTCCTGTGTGCATGTATTATAATCTTTGGAACAGAACTCAGTGCTTTGGATCTGTTTACTGTTCTGTCAGGTATGTAGCCAATAATAATAAATAATAATAGCTTTTTATAGCCAGTAAGTCACATTGTAACAGTAAATATGCATAAATACAAAACTGAGTAGTTTGTGATAGATTGGTTCAAAATTGAACGTAATTTTACTTTGGAAAAAATTTCTTTTGGCTTAGAAGGGATGGAAGTTTTCTTCCTTTGAAAGACTGAGTATCTGTGTAGTCTGTGTCTAACAGTGGGAAGTACTGAGAGCTCCCAAGGCATTTAAAGGCCTGATGGATTGCTTGTGTGCTAATGTGTGTATATATAACCAGGTACAGACTTCTTTGCCAGTAGAGCTTAAGGCATTCCCATATGTTTGCTGACATCATTAATTTTGAGTTTAATCTTAAGAATACCTGAGGAGTTTTCTTTTTATTTACTTCTTGCACTATGTTATAATTTATGGTGGCAAGCTCCCAGAGTTAATTATTTGTTAGACCATTTCATACTCTGCATTTATTTTACTTTTATTTATTGCAGGTATATTGAGGGAGGTAGTGCAGAAACAGCTTTTAGGCCTTCTCTGTGCTGTGCTTTTTTAAAAAAAATGTCCTCTTTTATTAATCTTCTCATGTTTTTGTATTCCTCATGGAAGTTGCCTTGTTACCTTGTGGATGTTTGGCTGCTGATGCACAGCAAACACACTTCAAGTGTTGATCTAGGAAAGCCAGTGGATGTAATCTTTTAAGACTTCAGCAAAGCTTGTGATGCTGTCTCTCATAGTGTCCTTCTGGACAAAATATCCAGCACACAGCTGAATAGCCCAGTTCCCTGATCGGTGAGTGACTGGCTTGCAGGTCAGGCACAAAGGGTTACAGTGAATGGGGTGACATCAGGCTGCCAACCTGTCACTAGGGGGTTCTGCAGGCTCCATCCTTGGCCCTGTGCTCTTCAACATCTTCATAAATCACCTTGGTGCAGGATTCATAGGGATGCTAAGTAAGTTTGCCAACTGCTGACATCCTCAAGGGCAGAGAGGCCCTGCAGAGACACCTCAACAAACTAGGGAGACGGGCAATCACCAACCAATGGAGTGTAACAAGGGGAAGTGCCAGGTTCTGCACCTGGGATGTGGTAACCCTGGATGTACAGACAGACGGGGAATGAGAGGCTGGAGAGCAGTGCCACAGAAAGGGACCTGGGAATTCTGGTTGACAGAAAGTTAAATGTGAGTCAGCAGTGCCCTGGCAGCCAGCAGGGCCACCCTTGTCCTGGGGACATCAGGCACAGCACAGCCAGGCAAGGGAGGGGATTGTCCTGCTCTGCTCTGGGCTGGGGCAGCCTCACCTTGAATAATGTGTGCAGCTTTGGGTGCCACAATATAAAATATTAAGCTGTTACACAGTGCCCAAAGGAGGGCAACAAGGATGGTGAAGGGCCTTGAGGGGAAGCCATATCAGGAGTGGCTGAGGTCACTCAGCCTGGAGCAGACTGAAAGGAGACCTCATTGTGGTTTCAGCTTCCTCACAAGGGAAGAGGAGGGGCAAGTACTAAACCCTTCACTCTCGTGACCACCGTCAGAATTCAAGCAAACAGCATGAAGTTGAGTTCAGGGAGGTTTAGGTTAGATATGAAGAAAAGGTTTTTCATTCAGAGTGTGGTTGGGTACTGGAACAGGCTTTCCAGAGAAGTGGTCACAGCACCAAGTCTGTCTGAGTTCAGGAAGGACAATTCTCTCAGGGACATGTTGTGATTTTTGGGGATGGTCCTGTGCAGGGCCAGGAGTTGGACTCCATGATCCTGATGGGCCCCTTCCAACTCAGCATATTCTCTGAATTCCCATAAAACAGGTAACTGGAAATTGCTGTATAGTCATGGGTCATCATAACTTGATGGAAAAAAACATCTTTTCCAACTTATTCAACCTGTTAGTTCCTCACTATTTTTGCATACTGAGTAGAAGTTTTCATTGAATGGGCTGCAGTGTCACTTTGGACCAAAGTCCTAAGAATATAGTTAGTTTCCATTAAAAATCCCCTGGGTTTGTGTGTGTTTCTTGACATTGGATACACTGAATTTTGTGCTTTTCAGAAACAATCCTTGTTCCCCAGCTGCTGCCACATGAACCCATTAAAGTTACATGTCTGCTACACTGACATAAAGCAGCCTGAGAGACAGCAATCTTAACTATCCCAGACTGCTAGCAGGCCCTGCCACCACATATTTGAAGATGATTTTAAACTGTACAGCCTAGACATTAAAGAAGCAGAAATAAGAACAGTTGGCCTTTGCCTCTTTAAGAACAGGAGTTTGATCTCCATTTGAACTCTTGGGTGTGATGCAGAGAAATTAGAATGTTCAAGGTCTTTGCTGTTATCAAACCTACTGCTGGAAACAATGCCATGTTGTCTAATTATGTGTTTCTGCTTATGAACTAACTTCTGGAAGGACAACCCTGCGTTTATCTATGCCCTACTACTGTGCTAGCACATTAGGAACCAGGCTGTAATGATGAATTTGAATAAACTGCTCTTGGGCTGAGGAAGAACATGCAGACTACTGATTGAAATTTGTGACTCAACATGCAGGACTGGAGGGCTGTGATGGATGATTAATAAGTTGCTAGCAAACAGATAACACATTCTGATCGGTTCCTTCTGAAGTGAGTGGCAGCATGTAGGTCTTGAATGGATTTGCTTTCCAAAAGTGCTAAGTACTGAGTCTTGAGGGAAGTTACTCATGTCTTTATTGGTTCTGTCTTGCCAGTGGAGGGAGGTAGGCTCCCCCAGAGGGCAGTTCAGTTAGACATTAAAGCTGACGTGAGTAGCCATGCTGAGCGTTTTGCTTATTTTATGTTCTGTTGTGACTTGCTGAGAAGAATAATGCCTTGTTCAACAGACATTTCCGTTTGGTGATATAAAGGCTTCCTGACAGCATTGGGGAGAGGGCATTTTAGGATAAATTTTAATCCCTGCTGAATACATTTTGAACATATTTTGGTTATGGTCTTATTTCTTTTGTATAATCAATATTATATTGTATTTCCGTTTTTTGTGAGCAAGTTGGTTTCATAGTTATTGTTTTTTCCTTCATCCTTTAGGTTGATATCCTTTCAAGAGTTTGTGGCATTTGAATCAGTCCTGTGTGCTCCAGATGCATTGTTCATAGTAGCCTTTCAGCTGTTTGACAAGACTGGCAAAGGAGAAGTTACTTTTGGTAAGACATTCCTAAATGTGCGTTCTTGATGTAAAAATCCGTACCTATGCCAAACTGTTTCACCTCCTGTTACTGTAGAAAACAGTGATTGGTAGTGGAACTACACTAATGCCAAGCAACTTCATGCCTGCACTTCTTGAATCATCTACGTATGCACAGTATGAAGCCAAGGTCATCATCACTGTTTCCTCTGGAGGACTGGTCACTTCTCTTTTTCTCTTCCCCAACATGGTTGTGCAGGTCTAGACCAGCAGTGATAGATGACCATAGGAAATGATTGTAAAACTGCAAGGAAGTTGCCAGAAGACCTGGGTGAATGTTGGGTTTGAAATCATTACCCTGAATTATTTTTTTGTTTGAATTTGCTATATTTCAAGCTGGCTGACTTCTAAGGCTTAAAACTGTTATCTGTGAGATTTTATAGTAATTAATTCATTATTATATGCCTTCTGCCATTCCCTCCCCCTGTAAAATTCAGCTGTGCATTGGAAGTGGGCTGTTTGCACTGATAATGAGATACACTCAGGCCAGTTTAAAACTTGATTAAGAGGACTGTTTCTTTCTAGATATCCTAGAGATAGCTTTTGATATCTGCAGGACTATCTCCCACCTGCCTAATGATAAGGGCCATTCATTAGGATTGAAAGAAGGATTTGGAATTTAGCAGTTTGGACTAATTTCTGATATTGAGCTTGCATTTGAAAAAGTATGGGGAATTTTTTTTCTGAGTACCTACACTGTCTAAAATTGCTGTTTCTAATCTGCTGCGTTTGGACATGGTCATTCCTATATATCAAGTTTTGTTGTTTGGTTGTTAAACAGTTCTAAGTAAATGGGAAATTGTGATGCTGTTGACTCTCTTGTCTTTCCAAAAGATATGGTTCACACATCCATTGTGTTTTACTAGTATTTCCCACACATGCCTTATGCTCAGTTAAAAAAGCCCTTCTCTTTCCATTTGAACTAACAAGATTCTGTAACCATTGCTTGAAACATCATTGTATTCTTTCTACCATCTCAAAAAATCTGTATTTGAAGTTGTGGCTGGTGAGAAAACTTGCTGTCTCTTCTTGTGTCTCTTTTGGTTTTTATTATTTTGGTAGTGTGTTGAGGGTGTGAAAGATGTGCTTTTTGTTTGCAGTATTTCAGAAGTTACTACAGATGCTAAAGGATTTTCAGAAAAAAATATCTGCAGATCATAACCTTGATGAAGAGAGTATTTTGTGCCTAACATTTTTGTGTATGTATATGGACAGAGAATCAGTGAGAGGTGCCATGCTTTTAAAACAGGAGGGAATGCACATTTTACTAGGGTTTTGTTCCAGTGAAGGCAGACCAGAGTTCTGGAATGCCTGTGATGTGCAGTTTCTTGTCTGCGTCAGAGCCCCTGGTTGCTTGGAGCACTCATTAATAATCTAGGAAGAACTGTATTCGTTTGATCTGAATGCTGAATCAGTCTGACTTAACTTTTTAACTCTTGGCATTCTTGTTCCTACTTTTCCTGCTGTCAGATGTTTCCCTTGGGGTTTGACACAGTGAGTCAAAGGATTTCTTTGGCATTTGAAGTCCATTGAAGTCCTTCTAGTGATGAGAGAAAATCCCATGCCAGACTGTATTTAAAGTATTTGAAAGAGGAGACATGCCAACATTGGCAGAACCTCAGATAGCTTTTGTTTGATTCCTTCATCTCCCCTTTTGAAACCATAGATGTATTTGTAACTTCTGTGTACTACCTTGTGGCTACCACCCCACTAAATGCCTGGACTGGGGAGGATGGTAGAGCTGTCTCAGTGTTGTGCATTCTCAGCAGAAATAGTTGACCTTTGGACAAGGCTAGTTCCTTACTTTATATCACAAGGAGAAAAAAGGACTTTATTTTCCTGCTATTATGAAAAAAAACCCTAATATTTTCATAAATACATTATTAAAATACTATCCTGTAACTTTGCCACTCCATGCCTCAGTCATGCATCTTTGAGGCCAATTATGAGATCTTTTTCCATTCACTTGAATGAGAGTAGTATCAAGTCCTTATCAAGGTTAGGAGACTTAAATAGGGGTTTTGTATACTGTGGAATTACAGTGTGAAAGGAACAGAAGAATAGGGAAAGGATAATTTTTCAGTATACTGCTGTTAGGTGTAGTATCTCAAGGCTCTCATTTTGAGTCTCTGTCTCATTTTATTGTTGTAAAGAAACAGTATGGCTTATCTTTGCAGTCATTTTTTTCTGTACACTAAAATAATGATACAAATATTTTAGCTTATACCAAGCAGAATAGTTCCCATCAGTGGATTTCACATTTTCTACCATGGAAATCCATCCAACTCTTACTCTTTCACAGGTGCACTTGGCTTGACATCTTTGTTAAAGGACTTAATAATGAGCTTTATGCCAATGAACTTTTACACTGAATGTGAGATTCAGGCTGTAATACTCAGAGAAATGTTCTTGGTAAAGAAGTTCCAATTTATCACTTTGCCCTCAGTTTCTTGAAAAATGCTGCACTCTTACTTTAGCTTCTGGATTGGAAATGGATTTGCATTTTAGCTGTATGTTGACATCTCTACAATTTTAAATGTTTCATTTCTTTAAAGTGGCAAGTTAGCTGTACCTGGTTCTTTGACAGAACTATTACCTATTTAAAAGGGCTGATGTGCAAGCAGTGTGGGTACATGGGGGGGTGGGAAGTATTTCTGGTTTATTGCTTTTTGAGGTGAATTAAATGGCCACTAGTAAATTAGTGGCTGGTGGCTGGTTGAGACTACACCTGGCCATTGCATCATGTTGTAGATTTACTTTCTGCTGAAGTGTCAAAGCTTTGACAGTTTGTAAGGAGTTAAAGCTCTCAGCAGGAAAGTTTAAATTCGAGGCAAAGAGCAAACCATTGCTTCTTAGTGTTGAGTGTTGACAGGCACATAAAAGCTGATAATGTAAGTCCAGGGGTTTAAGAGACTTAGTAGAGTTGCTTTTTTGTCGTGTGACTGTATTTTAATGCCTCATTAAAGAAGCAGAGCCCTTTGAAATTCTTTACTAGATGGCATTTAAAAAAAGGTGAGATGGTTGCATAAAAAAGTGTTTCAAAACGAAGTCATTGTAACCTTCATCTTTAATTTTGGATGGGTAAAATAAACGATGGGACCTAACAGTTCTGAGCTATGAATAACACACTAGTGATACCCAGGAACTGAAACTTACGTTTTCTGATACCAGTTCTCACAAGCCCTAGTGTAGGGCAAAATAAGTGTTGTCCATGTTGATTTTGCTAAGAGAGTTAGGAAAGGCACAATAAGAGCTGTGGTTGCCTGAGTCTGTGCTGCCAACCATTATTGAACCTGTTTTAAAGATTTTAATTCTGATTTATATTAAAGTAGAATTACCCACTGGACAGAAATCTTGCTCTTGTACTTAATGAAATGGAGCTGTGGTATAGTGTGTGGTTTTATGGTTTTGGTTTTCTTTTCTAGACATCCTCTAGTTCAATCTGAAGCTGTTTCAAAATGGATGCTGTGTTTTGCTGCTTTGAGAAATATGAGTATGCTGTCAAATGTCAGTCCTTTATTAAAAAAAAAATGAAACAACAAAACAACAACCTCCCCCCAAAGCCAGCAAAAATATTAAGGAAATTGGGAACCCAATCTCCAAATTTTTCTTTGTTAAGTGTAGGAGCTGCAGATTTGAGCCCTGGATTTTGCTTTTTTCTTTAAACAAAATTTTATTGGCAGCTGTTGTGGATCTCTGCTTCTGTTATTAATTATATCAGTACATTTGTTAGATAAACACATTAGTTAAGGATACATCTTACTAAGTGCTCCTGTTAGGTGATACCTGATACTTGAATTACCTGAATACTTGTTTGTAAACTTTCTAAAAGGACATAGCTCTTAAGAGAAGTTTAAATAGCTCCACAGCTATTGTGATGAGCTTCAGAGTTTTTTCCTCTATGAAAATGTTCTGTTATTTTTTAATATACAAAAAATGATTGCCAGAGTTTCATAATTGCTTTCAGGACCAAAGAATTAACTTCTGATCGTGGGACATAGCTCTTGCTTTCATTACAGAGGATTACTTGTTTTATGCTTTGCACTGCAATTGCTGTTTGTTTTTATGGAATCCGTAGTTCTTTTTACCTCTTGCACAACACCTAGCTTAGTGATGCCCAGCCTGGTACACTGAACACCATGTAAAGAAATGAAAAGCTAAATCTGAACCAACAAAATAAATTGCTGTAGCTGTAAGCTTTGATCTCTTGATTAACTGTAGTATTTAGTATTTATCAGTGATGCTTCCATTGCTGGTTCAAATTGCCTTAAAACCAGTTGTAGATAGTGATTTGTTAGCTTACACATCACAGCTTCACCTATGCAGTGAACATTTGCTGATGTACAAATGACAGCTGCCTAGATACAATGAATCCAGTGGCAACATTGCAGATGTGAAATCTGTTCAGTCTCTGATGTTTTTTGTTGTTTGTACAGTGTTGGATTTTGCACAAATAATTGCCAGTTTTAATTACAAAAGGATGTGAATTAGACTTGTTAGTATATTTATTTTCTTCAAAACAATTTTTGAAATTTTCTCAGACTGTTTTTTGAGAATTTCATTTCTAGACATATGTCAATTTGGCAAGTTTTTGTTTTGTTTTTCTCTTTTAACTAAAATGTTATATAACCAAGCAGACTTGGATGCAAGCAAATAAAAAACAGCCTGTTTGGATGCAAAGTGAATCTGTCATTCTGAATATTAGGAGAAGCTTTGTCCTGTTACACTGTTTGGTTTCATTTGGTCTAGAAAATGCAGTTGAGTTTTCTACATCATCCAGAACTGAAATTCAGTGTTTCAGTTTGTTCTTTGTTGTTGGTTTTGTTCTGTTGCTTTGTTGGGGATGGTAAGAGAACCATCAAATAATTCAGACTGGAGGTGACTGTGGCCATATGGTTCAAACCCTTGCAGCACCACCATCAAGACCAGTTGCTCCAGGGGAAATATCTAATAAATTTT